TCTTTTGAAAGATTCTTTTTATATTTGCAGCCTTCCCTGCTTCCTGCCACACATACAATTGGCCTCAGTGTTTTGCACAAAGCGGGACTTCTCCTACTTATGACACTTCTCAGTGTCATGTATCAACTAACATTGATGTTACAGCAGCACCTGGGTTACTTCAGGTTGGCAACCTTCAGGACCACAGCATCACCCCCAAATCCCAAATTCACTTACTTTTGGGTAGGTACAGTCAAGTCAAAATAAACTTCAAGGACTAAAGGAAACACTGTGTGGAAATACTTGGCCCACGACAGATGCTCACTCCATGTTGAATATCCATGTAAATGAAAGTAAATTAAACGACCACTGCAGCAGAGTCACTGCTCTGTGCTAATCATAGCACTTCTTCCTGGGCACACACAAAACATCCCTGAGCTTCCCTCCTCCAGTGTTCAAGTCGCCCCAAGACCACAGCGAGGGTGTCTGCAAACCCAGGGTGCTGCCAGCTTCCTGGACACCTACGCATTAGGCATGAGTCAGGGCACGAATGAAAATCCCCCTCCTCTCTCAAAGAGGGTGATGCCCAGTCACAGAGGCCCAGCCATGAGGTGTTTTTGACTCAAGGAGAGGTGGCGCCGGTGGGCAACGAAGAAGCAGAGGACATCTGCTGTGACAGTATTTCTCCTGAAGAATGACCCCGTCCCCTGCTGGAGAACAGGACAGATGATGCAATTCTCAGATCCTTGCTTTCCAGTGGTATTATGAGCCTGGTGTGAGTTGCCATGACAATTTCCACATATTAGATCCACATATTTAGGCTCTTTTTTATGTCTTTAGTGGGGAATAAAACTTGTGCTATTCAGTGTTGATATTCTATCCATCCCTGCAGACTCTCCAGATCAGAGCTTCCAGCTCCCCTTGTTGGTGGCCTATGGTTCGTATATGAACTGGGTCCTGGGTGTGGCTTTACCCTGAGCTTGGGAGAAGACAAGAAGAGAGACTAGTACTGTATGTCATAAGAATAATAAAATCACCACATGAGGAGACAACCACAAACTCTTGGAGTTGGAGGGATCATAAGGACTCTGCCGTTCAGGTTCAGCATTTTGCAGGTACGAAGTGGACACAGAAAGGGGAAGTGACTTGCCCAAGGTCACAGAGCTACTGAGTGACAACCAGGGGATTAGAACTTGAGTCTTCTAACTCCATTTCCAGCGCAGTACCTTTTCTAGATGACATGAAATAGGAGCACCAAATAACATAGGAGAATTTCTCAAAAAATGGAGAAGGCGGCCAGCCTCTCTTTAATTCGGTGCTAAAAACATCATTGTTTGGGGCTGGAGGCTGAAAATTGCAACCAAGGACATTTCTAGAAATACTAGTCAATTCTTTCCTTTTCCGTGAGCTATGACACAGATGCACATAGGGTTAATTCAAGGGCATTGATTTTGAATGATCACTTTATCCAAAGTCTTTAAAATGTCAGTTCTAAAAGAGCAAGCCAAATCAAAATACAGTTTTTAATGTAAAAAGAAAACAGTTAAAATATCCTGGTTGCATATTTGCCAACTCAGAATTTGCCAACTCTCTATTGCATCTGCAGAGTTCAGGACTTTAGAATTGGAGCGCCTTGATAGGATTCACGTATGTATAAGATGATGATGATGATAAAGGGAACATTTCTTGAACACTACTACATGCTAGCCACATAGCTAAAGTTAAATCACAGGCTAAAGTCTTTACATTTATTCTCTCACTTAATCTTCTCAATAACTGTAAAGGGTAGTATTGTTATTTCAATTTTATAGATGAGTAAACTGAGGCTTAGAGAAGTTTTGTGGTACAAAGACTTAGATACAGTATTTACATTCAGACAAGCATTAGAGCCTGTCTATGCACTGTTTTTTACATAAATTAGAAACACAGCACTTTAGAGCTGAAAGTGACCATTTCATCCAATGCCTTCCTTTAATAGATGAAGAAACTGGCACCTAAAGAAGTGGAATGGTTGCCCTGGCCAGGTAGCTCTGTTGATTAGAGCATCGCCCTGATTCACCAAGGTTGTGGGTTCGATCCCTTGTCAGCACATGTATAAGAACTTACTAATGAATGCATAAATAAGTGGAACAACAAATCGATGTTTCTTTCTCTCTCATCAATCAATCAATCAATCAGTCAAGAGAAGTGGAATGGTTTGTTCTGAGTTACGTGATTAGTGACAGATCCCAGGTGCCATGCCCCAGAAGATCACTGAAAATGTTTTTCTTTCTTTTTTTTTTTTGAATCTCACCTCTGACAGTGCATGTTGTCAGCAGCTTTCCAGATCTTCAGGGAGAGCTGCTGAGCTCTGGATTAGTACAGATCAGCTATACCGAAAAGGGGCAGTACTGTGTAATGGTTAAGAGGCCTGGCTTCATCGCCTACAATCCTGGGCTATTTATTTAACCCCTCTGTGCCTCACTTTTCTTATCTGTAAAGTGCGGGTAGCAACGTCACAGGGTTGTGAGAATACATGCACCGTCCTTGACACAGTGAAGCCTCTGCATAAGTATAGGTGAGCTTGTATAATGACCTGTGATAATAAATATTGCGGAAAGTGGAGTTGGAGGTGGGAAGAGGGGTTGTCCCCATACTGTGCAAGTAGCACTCTGGCCAGAGGTTGAAGCCAGGTGCCACCCAGCCCTTGCCCCTGATGCCTTTAGAACTGCATCCACACACCCCTCTCTCCAGGCTGTTCACTGCCTGGGTCTCAGTCTGCCAAAGCTAGCTTTTGTGCCTGCCACACAATCACCAAGCCTTTCCCTGCCTTCACTCCATCCTTTTGAGAGCCTTGGGTTGGGCAACTCACTTTGCTGACAACTCACTTTCCCTGGACCTGGTTTATTCATCAGTTAATGGAGCAAATAGGGAGAGTAATATGTGTGAATTAGTTAAAGTATCTGTTAAATAGAATTTTATGGATAGGTCTAACAATCAAACATTATTTTTCTGGGAAACATGTTTTGAGTTCCAAAAAACTAATCAATAAAGGGATTTTTGGAATATAATCCCTTGTAACCTGGAAATACCCTATGACAACTGTGCAGTGTAGAGGGAAGGATTTTCAACGAGCAGGGTTGGGGCTGGG